TAAATGAAAACTGGAAGAACTGCGGATGCTGTAAATCAGAAACAAAAACAGAAGCTGCTGGAAAAGCTCAGCAAGTCTGGCAGCATCTGTGAAGACAAAATCAGAGTTAATGTTTCAGGTCCGGGGACCGAAGGGTGTGAGGAAGGGTCACCAGACCCGAAACGTTAACTCTGATTTTTTTCTTCACAGATGCTACCAGACCTGCTGAGCTTTTCCAGTAACTTCTGTTTTTGTACCTGAGTTTAAATTTACTGTGTCAAATTCAGGATTAGAATTCACTTTCAAAAATTTGTGAAAAAAGCTGGTCTCTGTTGAAGTGACCGTAAAATTGTCAGTTTGTTGTAAAAACCTAACTGGCTCATTAACGTTATTTAGGAAAGGAGATCTGCTGTCCCTACCCAGTCCGGCTTGTATCTGAGAGGTTTGAGGCTGACTCTTAACTGCCTTCTAAAGTGTCTAGTAAAACACACCAGGCCTTGTTATCACACAACCTGCCATTACACACTACCGACTGTTAGCCACTAACAGTCTCCATTAACAGCTATTCACCCTCCTAGCCGATCATTATCAACTCCTTTGTCTGTCCAACTGCTCTTCTCTCCCTCTGGGCTCTATCATCACCAATCGTTTACTACTTATCCCCTCCCCTCAACCTATCTTCTGCATAAAAACCGACATTTTCCCAGCTACCATCAGTTCTGAGGAAGGGTCACCGGACCCAAAACGTTAACTCTGATTTCTCTTCACAGATGCTGCCAGACACAGAGCTTTTCCAGTAACTGAGATAGTAGGAACTACAGATGCTGGAGAATCTGAGATAACAAGGTGTAGAGCTGGATGAACACAGCAGGCCAAGCAGCATCATAGGAGCAGGAAGGCTGACGTTTTGGGCCTAGACCCTTCATCAGAAATGGGGGAGGGGAAGGGGTTTCTGAAATAAATAGGGAGAGAGGGGGAGGCAGATAGAAGATGGATAGAGGAGAAGATAGGTGGAGAGGAAACAGACAGGTCAAAGAGGCGGGAATGGAGCCAGTAAAGGTGGGTATAGGTGGGGAGTTAGGGAGGAGATAGGTCAGTCCAGGGAGGACGGACAGGTCAAGGGGGTGGGATGAGGTTAGTAGGTAGGAAATGGGGGTGCGGCTTGAGGTGGGAGGAGGGGATAGGTGGGAGGAAGAACAGGTTAGGGAGGTGTGGACGAGCTGGGCTGGTTTTGGGATGCGGTAGGGGGAGGGGAGATTTTGAAGCTTGTGAAATCCACATTGATACCATTGGGCTGCAGGGTTCCCAAGCGGAATATGAGTTGCTGTTCCTGCTACCTTCGGGTGGCATCGTTGTGGCACTGCAGGAGGCCCAGGATGGACATGTCGTCTGAGGAATGGGAGGGGGAGTTGAAATGGTTCGCGACTGGGAGATGCAGTTGTTTATTGCGAACCGAGCGTAGGTGTTCTGCAAAGCGGTCCCCAAGCCTCCGCTTGGTTTCCCCGATGTAGAGGAGGCCACAACGGGTACAGCGGATGCAGTATACCACATTAGCAGATGTGCAGGTAAACATCTGCTTGACTGGAAAGTCTTCTTGGGGCCTGGGATGGGGGTGATGGAGGAGGTGTGGGGGCAGGTGTAGCACTTCCTGCGGTTGCAGGGAAAAGTGCCAGGTGTGGTGGGGCTGGAGGGGAGTGTGGAGCGGACAAGGGAGTCACAGAGAGAGTAGTCCCTCCGGAAAGCAGATAAGAGTGGGGAGGGAAAAACGTCTTTGGTGGTGGGGTCGGATTGCAGATGGCGGAAGTGTCGGAGCATGATGCGTTGGATCCGGAGGTTAGTGGGGTGGTACATGAGGACGAGGGAGATTCATTTTTGGTTGTAACTGCGGGGATGGGGTGTGACGGATGAATTGCGGGAAATGCGGGAGACACGGTGGAGGGCGTTCTCGACCACTGAGGGGGGGAAGTTGCGGTCCTTGAAGAACGAGGACATCTGAGATGTGCGGGAGTGGAATGCCTCATCCTGGGAGCAGATGCGGCGGAGGCGAAGGAATTGGGAATAGGGGATGGCATTTTTGCAGGAAGGTGGGTGGGAAGAGGTTCCAGTAACTTCTGTTTTTGTAGCAAAACACAAAGTTGGATCAAGTCCACTCCAAGCAGAGCAAAAAGAAGGCCAGCCACCATCTTTTCAATGTTTCCTACATTAGAACAGTGACTACACTTTGAAACTACTTTACGGGCTGTAAATGCCTCCATATGTCCTGAGGCTGTGAAAGGCACCATAGGAATGCAATGTATTTAATTTAAGACAATTAGGGATGGCCAATGGTTGCATCTTGTGGAATTGGAATTATTGCTATTTGGTACACTGTCGCTAAGGTTACATTGTTTGAAGTCAGATGAAACTCCTGTGGTGGTCACTTGGACATCTCTGCAGCAGTTCGTCAAGATAGATTTTATTTTCCTTCCAGAGATAGGGGCAGTACTATAGATATCATCACAAGAGCCCTGGTATCTTAGATTAGTACTTTCCTCATCAACTTGTTCAGGGATGTTATTTCACACCTCTGGAGCAGGTGGGAATTGAACCTGGGCCTCCTGGCTCAGAGATAGAGACACTATCACTGTGGCACAAGGATCCTAGTACCTCAGAGTAACATCCGGGCCTGACCAACTTCAGTTGCTTCATTAATTAACTTCCCTATGTGATAAAGTCAAATGTGGAAATGTTTCTGATGACTGCAGCATTTAGTTTCATTCATAGTTCCTCACTGAAGCAGTCAATATCCATGTGCAGCAAGATCTGGACAAAATCCAGCCTTGGGCTCATAGGTAGTAGGTTGTATCACACAAGCACCAGGCCATCTCCCCTTGACATTCAATTGCATTATCATTGCTGAATCCTCCACTGTAATATCCTGGCAGGTTAGCATTGACAAGAAACTGAACTGGTTTAGCCCTTATTACTGTAGCCAGTAACCCATCTCCTGCCTGTACATCATCTACATAAGGGGTGCAGTTCTGAGAAAGATTCCCACTTAACTGTTAGAATGTGACGGGACACAGGGCACCTGAGGAATTGTGAATGAGCAGAAACAAGGCTCGCTGCTCCACCGTTGGTCTAGCGCTTATGGTCCTGTTTGCCTGGCCAATGTTCGTCTTTTTACAAAAACAAAGTTGCTGGAAAAGCTCAGCAGGTCTGGCAGCATCTGTGAAGGAAAAAACAGCGTTAACGTTTCTCTGGTGACCCTTCCTCAGAACTGGTCTGAGGAAGGGTCACCGGACCCGAAAAGTTAACTCTGTTTTCTCCTCCACAGATGCTGCCAGACCTGCTGAGCTTTTCCAGCAACTTTGTTTTTGTTCCTGATTTACAGCATCCACAGTTCTTTTGGTTTTTGTCTTGTTTTTGCCTCAACCGGTGATGTGCTGTGCCCTTTCCTACTGTTCTGGGCAATTTTAATAAGATGCAACTTCAGCTCTGCTCAGGGCAATCACTGTAGTTGGGGGTGGGGAGTGTGGGGGCAGTAGAGGGTGAGGAAATATGCCCCTAATTTCCAGGTAAAGCTCCCGGATCAGGTACCTATCCAACATGGCAAAGTCGGCAGAGAAATCCCTGCCCCGCAAACTCTGCAGTTAGCGGAGATGGAACTGTACATGGGAAAGAGATATGAATGAACTGAAGCGTTCCCACTCCTCTCATTGAATTTCCGGGCAGACGCCGGATCGTCTGCAATGTTCCTGTGAAATTTCGTTGAAGAAAAGTTGGCCCAGAGTATTCCGAGTTACTCCCGGGGCCGCTGTGTGTCAGTGGGCAGATGGGCAAAGGGGCCGCAGTGGAACACAGCGAGTCGCAGCACAATACAGGGTCTCTCTGGGCTTACTTTCAAAACGACGGTAAACCCCGTGATCCACATTCCCGGAAACTCCTGGAATTCTCGTGTTGCCTAATTCTTGCCACGGTATCTGTGGCTGACCCGCTAAAGTTTCCTGTTTTTGTTACAGATTTCCAAGGGCTTGCAGTTTTGCTTTGGCTTTCGTTAGAGCAGCAAAATGATGCGGAACTTTCCAGAAATATAGCCTGATCCTGGCTGTGAATTGTGAATGGATTTGCGGCAATAAATTGTTAAAGTCCACCACAGGGAACACCTGCAGCTATCATATTAACTTTGACATGATAAGGATTAGAGGTGTCCTGCCTTAACATGGACATTAATGTTGAATTTGAGTTTGCAAACTGAAATCAGGAATGACATATGGATGTTTTTTTTGTTGGAATGCAAGAAACCCTAACATATGAGCTGGCTGCAGGTAATAAGCAGCGAATTAAATTGTGTGCAGGCTGCAATGCGTGGGTGACCGGCAGTGATTGACAGAGGGCAGAAATTCCGCTGGGGGACGTTAACCTGTAAATGTGTCTCAGGAGTCACACAAAACCGCAACAGCCCTCCCATTCTCCACATGCTCAGCCTCCCCCCGGGCTAGCATTCTGTGATCTAGGAGCTCTCGGGCCGAGAAGCCGCGGGATGGGATCTGGGATCCGGCTTTGCACAGACACCGGGAGCCCCACCTCATGACAACCACGGGGTCCTAATGCCGGTCGCACTCTCTCACGTTTCTCTCTTAACATTCCAACGAATTTCGCAGCGTTGCAAAAAACACATACACACATGAATTCAAAATCAATTTAACTGGAGATGTGACACTTCCCTGAAAGCGTATGCTAAGCCACTGTTCCGCGTGTCATTAGCGAAGGGTCTGTGTTTATCTCCTCAGAGTTCCTTAACTTATGGAAAGAGACACTGATGCTTTCAACAGCGCATCTTTGGTTGCGTTTTCTATTTTATTCCAAAGTGCAAACCCTTACTGACACTCGTAACGAATCACAAACACTTCACCGGAATATATGCAGTGACCTAGATCTGAACCACTCACTGCAGTAAACCTGTCTTTTAATTTAGAGTTCAGACCCGGCGCTCCGCTGCTACACCTGAGATTTATATGTTAACGTGAAAGTGCTCTTACCAAACACCGACAGGAGATGCACGGGTTATCTGTAATTCGTGGGATTTCTACCGCAGCGCCTTCATTCTCACAGCTTGCCACCGAGCCTAAACACGAAAACAGCGGCATGAGCAGCCTGCTTGGGCAGCGATACAATGTGCTTCAGTAAAACTGGCGCTGAGTCAGGATTTTCCTTACCTGTTAGGAGAAACCGGGAGACGGTGATCTGGGAAAGAAGCACTAGAAAGAAGCAAAGCAGCGAACAGCTGCGGAAATGTAGCCAGTTTGCCAGGGTGCTTTCCAGACGAAACAGCATCTTCAGTGAAATGACTCGGTCAGAAATCCTCCAGCACCAGCAGCATCGAATCACATCGATCAGGTGTGAGTGAGCTCCAGTTTCTGTCACACAGGCTCCCCCCCCCAGCGTTTAGCACCAGGCTATTTCCCCGCTGGCACACACACAGGTACAGCCACAAACGCGCATCCCTGGGACTGTGGTCTCCTGCTCATCCCGGTCCTCCTCCTCGCCGTCCCGGTTATCTGGCGCCACAAACAGCCGGGTCTGGGGGGTGGGGGAGCGGTTTGGGGGAGTCTTACAGGCGGGGCTGGTTTCTCTATCTGTGCTCTACCACTTACAGCGCTGCTCCTCCGGGTATCTGCAGCCTCTAATGAACAACTCACTGGCTTATTGCTGAGAGAGTTTAGCTGCTAAAGCAAAGCAAACAAAATTCACTAGGATCCACCTCTCAAGCACACCACTGGACACATGTCACCCAGTCAGCTTCTGGTCGGCTCAGTGACCCCTCCGCCCCCCCACCCCGACCACCAAAGAGACATACAGACCCTTCGATTGATTATAACCTTTATCTACTCAACACGAGTGTCTCAGGAGTGCTTGCAGCAGTTAATTCTTATGTCAGAACAATGTGAAATCTGAATACAAATCGGAGCAAACAAAACTGTCAGTAATATTCCTGACGTCTGATGTGATATTAACCTAGAAATAAATGGGCCGTACTGCAAAGACATTGACATGAACCAAGTGAAATTGTCCCGTCAGAGCTATTGCTGTGAAATTGGATTTATTTTTGCACAGGATTAGTTACACCTTGTGCGCCTGATTTTAACGCTCTCGCTACATTTGCTTCCCTTTGATATAAACGGGTTTTATCTGAATCGCCAATAGACAAACATTACACTAAATTATTTGTCAAATTTGGATATCTCGGGTAATGTAGCAATATTTCGACTTTGTCCGCCGGCTCATCCTCAGTCCCAGTTGATTTGCCTGAGCCCCCTCAGGTAGTTCTATAATTTGCCGAAACATTTATAACACGGAGCAGGGATTCTGTAGAATTCAGGAACAAATAGCCTTAGTTGAGTTTAACAAGGATCTTTTGTCGGGTGAGTGTTTTGGCGCCTGTTGAAGGTAATCTATCGTACCATTCATGTGAGGGAGGCCAGCGCTAACCACAGACAGGGAGACAGTGCCACCTGCGCCAGTAGAAAGGGAGAGCCGGTCAAAGATAGAGTTACACACACACACAGACACACTCACTCACAGTGCTAACCAGAGCGGGGGCCGGCTCGCCCTGGCTCCTAACATGTTGCAGTTCAGTGAGAGGATAAGGCGTGTGTGTGTGTGTGTCTCGCATTCATAATGAAATGACCTCTGTGAAAATTTTCTTAACCCAGAGTGTGCTCGCCGAGCAGTCTCATCTGAATAAGGGCTCCTGTTCGCGGTGTGCTGAGACCGTGTGCGAAACGGCGTTTTAAAAGAAAGAAACTACATCCAATCACTAAAATAAACTACGTGCAGTTCCCATCTATTTCTGTGTATACATATAACATCCACGTAATAAATTAAACCCTTAAGCCTGCAGATATTTCGTGCACTACAGAATGCAAACGGTAGCATTTATAATGGGAATTGTTTATATAAACTTGTCGCACAGTAATTTCATCTCCCACCAGTAAAGGCACTGCATCACCACTGATACAATTAAGATACCTGCGTATCTCTAGGGATTCACACAGCTGTCCTAAAGTGCCTCCCAAGTGATCAAGTGTTATAAATTAAGAAGCATCAGCCAGTGTGTGCACAGCAAGCTCCCATGAATGGCAACATGACATTGACCAGATCATCGGAATGTTTTAGAGTAATGTTGATTGAAACATAACTATTAGTCACGGACATTTGCTCTTCTTCAGATAGTTCCACGGAGCCTTTTACATCCGTTCCCAGAGGGCTGACAGGGGTTTTAATTTTACATCTCATCCAAAAGTTCCCACTTCCGACAGCACAGCAACTCCCTCAGTCTTACTCTGGGGTCGGCCTATATTCTTGGAGTCAGTTCTCAGGAGCAGCACTGGATCCAATAACCTTCCAACACAAAAGTAAATGTGCTATCCACTGAACCATATCTGACAGTGTAATCACAGCACAACGAGTTTACATAGGCAGTTTACAGCGATATTTATCATAAAAATACACCAAAGAGCATATGATAATACTCTACAACAGGGACAGAATGACATCTGTGTAGCCGGGTCCAATTATTACCTGAGTGATACATGCAGACACAAAAACTGGCTTCCTATGGTATTGCTGAGCAAGTCACCAGGCAAGTTGGTGCAACACAATGAGAACAAAGTGATGGCGATAATGCTATAGCATGTGTGACATCAGAGATGTTTGTGGCAGCCCAAAGATTTAACATTCTGGACATAATATCATACTAGGTATAATACTGCTTCTGAAATTCATACCAGTATTTAAAAAATATGCTCATGTTTACATTTAGCTACAGAATTACTGCTCCTATGTTGGAACGAACATATTAAAAAAAATCTAATTTACATTTAGTTTATTCACAAGTGATTATTCAAGATTCAGTCAGACTGAACAGTTTTTAAAGCAGAGCAGATCAGTAAAACAAGAAACAGTAAAACCCCTGACCTGACAAAACAGTAGAGACAATGATGCTCTGAACAAAAAACCAATGCCCCAAAGAGATTGTCAAACAGGACAACGTAAGAAATAGTAGCAGGAGTGTTTCCAATGTCTACTTCACCATAATAAGGTCAGGGCTGACATTCTACCTCAACTCCCTTTTCCTGCTGCAGCTCTAAATCTTCTCATTCCATTAACAAAAGTCAAAACAACAAAAGAAATTGGAGCAACTGAAATAGCAGATGAATAAAGATTGGCTGGATCAGTGAACATAGTCCTGGTGTAACTTAGCATCATGACCCATCTCTCCTACCATAAGTAGCCATGCAATCTGTTGGTTTGTTTTATTCATTAGGTCTGGGCATTGCTGTCTGGACCAGCATTTATTGCCCACCCTAATTGTTCAGATGGCAATAAGAGTTAATGAAATTGCAGTGGATCTAAAGTCACATGGAGGCAGAGCAGGTAAGGATGGCAGATAAAGATTTCCTTCCCTAAATATGGACATTAGTGAACCAGCTGGGTTTTTCTCAGCAATCAACAGTGGTTTCATGGTCATCATTAGACTTTTAATTGCAGATTTCTTTAAAATTGAAGCTCTGTCATGGCAGGATTTGAAATCATGCGCCCAGAACATTACCTTTGTGTCTAGATTAATAACCCAGCAGCAGTAACACAAGGCCATTACCTTCCCTTAAAGAGATCACAAAAAGAAGAAACTGCTTGGTCAGTTGAAGATAAAAAATGCTGGAATATTTCTGTCTCATCTTAAAACAAGTTATAGGATAGCAGTGGCAATGAAACACGTGCAAAGCCTCACCCATCTCCAAAATTAGCTTTTGACAGAAACTTAGCTAACTCTCTTTTGAATTTCCAGGGAATCCAAGTTGAGCACCTGAACCAGTAACTTTACAAAATTTAGTATGTAACTTAGCTCTTTGTTCACTGATATAACACAAATATATTCTGTCAAGGCAGACAGAGAGCACTACCTTCAATAATATTGATAATTCCACCTCCCCATTCAATATGCACACCTGCACACCAATGCTTTTAAGAAAGAAATTCAAAACACTCTTCGGTTTCTTTCTCTGCTGTTAGTTGGAGAAAAGATTGTCTGGGAAAGAGATAGTGCATTTTGCCATTTCTGAAATAGATGGAAAAACAATCAATTTGGGAATGCTAAGCATGTTCTACTGAGGTTGAATGTAGGATCGTTCAGAATCTAATATGTTTAGCAGGACTGTAGCTGTTCAACTCACATGATAGCTCCAAGTATCATACCGGTTATTCACTGCATTCTATTCTTTCTCAGCATATTGTGCCCAATAATTTCTATTGCTACAAAAGCTCAGATTCAACTCTGAAGAAAATGAATTGGAATATCAGACATGAGTAGACCCCTCCACCCTTGGAAAAGGTGCATTCAATAAGATCATGGCAGATCTCTATCATTGCTCTGCCTACCCACCTTTGTTCTATAATCCTTAATATCCCTGCCTGAAGAAAAGCTGCCAATTTTAGTTTTGCAATAGCTCTCAACCCATTAGTTCACGAGACATTTCTGGGGAGACACTTTCAGATTTCAATTGGCCTCTGTGTAAGAAAGTGCTTCTTAATATTAACCCTGAATAACCAAGCTCTAATATTACCATTATACCTTCTTGTTCTAAAGTCCCCCACTAAAGGGTATAGTTTCTCATTACTTTATCAAATCTTTTAATCATCATAAACACCTCAACAGGTGAATTACTTAGTATGAATACTTATTGATGAACCTCACTTTGGCATTGTGAATTCACTCCACTGCATATTAATAGACATGTAGGAAACTAGCCATATTTCACCAGTTAATGCTTGGAGTGGAGCAATATTCCCAAGTTCATTTATCTTCCGGACATGTTTTCAACACCTGACAGAAGTATAAATAATATTGATGTTATACAGTGTTTGGGTTATTGTAATTCAAAACCCTTCAGGCTGGCATCCCATTTCTTCATCATTGGCAGGTGATCTCGCTGTTCTGTTAGATGTCTATAGTTGTACATGAAGAAACATTATGTTTGGTTGACTAGGAGACAAAAACAGCTGTTCAACAAAATCTAAAGGAGTGACTTGCATGTGGAAATAGAAAACAATAAGAAAAACACATCAGTGAGAATGGTGAAAGCCTCTACCCATCCAATAATGTTAACTAAAAAGTGCAATGAATACTTTAAAACTAAGTGTAGTGGCTCAAATGTCATTTTGGTTAATGTTCTACTTTTAAAGAACATAATTTAATCATATATTTCCAGGAAATGAACAATCAGAACCCTTGAGCATGTTCTGCTGACTACATGGAATATTTAAACCTAGGATTCCCCTGGATTTCACAGAAACCCAAATGTTAGGACAATCATGCTGATTAATGAAGAGGTTTACAAGCTTTCCCCTGTGAATAATGAACTTACCATCCAGTTGTCTACCTAAATATCCATTGGTCCATACAGCCATGGATGGGTTATCACAGGTCCAGCTATTGGAAGCACAAGGGAAATCAATTCAAGAGATTTCAATTGCTAACTGGTGCATTCTGCACAGGACCCAGAGAATTTCCTGTAGTTTTCCCAACCGGCCTATGTGTCTTTAAGCCTAGCATGATTACTTCCTAAATAAAGTATTTTCACATTTTGAACATTTCTGTTTTGAGGGATTCAGAAACATTGTGCGCAAACCCTCTAGACATCAAAATAGCTTGAGTGGGATTATTTTTGTTGGCTCTGGAACATGGTTATGGAAATGTTATGAAATTTCACCTCCATTAATAACAGTTTACTTTGTAAGGATGGATTCGAATGTTG